ACCAAACGGCAAAATACAATCTCTCTCTCTCTCTCTCTCTCTCTCTCTCTCTCTCAGATTCTTCCATAACTAACAACCGGTTCTCTCTCTCTGAGATTCTTCCATAACTAACAACCAGTTAACCACATTTGTTGCATAATGGAAACCAACATAGAGTAAGAATCAATATATCCTTGGAACCCTGAAGTCAATATCCCACTTTCAACCCAAACAAAACCAACAATTAAAATAAGTAAAATATCCGTTAAATAGAACAAAATTTGAACTCACCCACGTCCCCCTAAAAGTACAACATAAATTGAGAGAGAGAGAGAGAGGTCACCTTTTCATGCCTTGCATGTATGACAGAGAAAGAGAGGGGGGCGAGGGGGGGCTTGATGGTGGCAACCTTCGAAGTGTCTTAAGGGACATTCATGACTTGGATAGATTGTAGCATATCTGAGAGGGCAATGACCAGGTCCCCTGATTGTATCATACCCCTGGCTTTAAGAAGAGAGAAGGTGCGGTTGAGGTTGCTGTCCATGTCATCTGTAAGGCTGAGCCTGAACGGTATTAACCCCCATTGCAAGTTCAGGCGTCGCCTCACACTTGTCGTGGTCGTGAATGCAAAGATTGGGCAGTCAGGTCGACACCTCGACAATAGAGAAGCCATGTACCCATCCTTCGTGAACACAAATACAGCATCCACTTCCAAATTGTTAGCTGCATGTCATCATCACCATTGCCATCATTCATCACGACCACCATAACAACAATAGTAGTTATAGCGGCGATAATAAGTAAAATTATCAATCACGATAATTGTAATCACAATAAGGAGCTCTGTTTTAATCAAAAATACAAAATCACACTATCGTGGAGCTGTCTCACCCAGTAATTTTGAGTTTGATTTTCAAGCTTAACAACCAAAGGAAGAATATAATAAATAGAAAATGACAATCAATCAATCATAAAATGAATTGTTGAAGATATGCCTCCCTCTGGAGAATCGTATAGTGGGTTACTCACCAACAACAGGATCTAAAACATCACAATAGAGTTCTTTTTATTTTTATGCCCAATATCACATAAATTTCAAATGAAATTCTGTCTACTGGGTTGATACACTCAGTTTAATTTGAAGGAGCTTGTCATGACCTTGAGGTCGTGCATTTGAACCCAGACTAAAGAATTTCTTCTAAATTGAACTCGAAAGCTTCCCAAACTTACAAATCAACATTTGGGTAGAAGATATTGCTATCCCTTCGTTTTGGACACAAAGTTCATTGCAATATTTTTACACAGCCAGGCAATCTCAAGATTCTCTCTAGCATAAGAGAGGTTTGGTAACTTTTCCAAACCAGCAACTCCTAAAAACATTAATAAAGAACCAATAAATTTTGAGTGAATTCGTGCAATTTTTTTAGGTTATCCATTGGTCTTAGATGCAAAATTCATGCAATTTTTCTTACAAAGCTAGGCTATCTAAAGAATCCAGAAAGCAAGAAGGGTTTGACACTACTTTTAAAGGAAAACGTTAAAATAAGACCAAAGCTTTACGGAAAAAAGTAAAGCCTCACTGAAAATTGTAGTTACGGGCTTCAGAAAATTTTCAAATCAATCATCCCGATCTTAATCATTATGGTTGTGAAAAAAGTTAGGATTTCAAGTCCTAAAAATAGTGTATGTTGTAAGACATTATCTAGACAGTCCATTTTCAAGTGTTCATGGTTCCACGAGATCTATACCATTTTCTGAGCTACAAATTTCAATTTCATAATCGGTGGTGGAAATAGATTCTAGAGCCATCTTAAGGGATTTTCCATACCCGAAGTGCTTTCTGTACAAGATTTCGATGTGAGGCTTTACTTTTTTTTCGTAAGGGCTAGGCCTTAGAGAAACAGCATCCATTTTTAAAACCAGCAACTCCCACATGATATTCATCCGAATCCAACAGAACCTGAGTCATTTATCCTATTCATATCTTATGCGTGTTGTATATTCCAGTACCAAAAACAAGTAATTCTATCCAGTTTTCCAACAACCTTGGATGCTACTGAATAATGCAAGCTTCAAAAACATGCATACCCATCTTAATCACTGAGAGAGATAGACACACAGACAGCAAGAGAGAGAGAGAGATGCATACCCATCTTAGCAGCAGAATTGCAAATCTCCTCAGAGATGCGGTCAGAGAAAGAGGATGCAATTGGTGGCAAGCGCATGGCCTCGTGACGCTTCTCCTCTCTCCACCACCTCTCTATGCGAAGGCTCACACTCCTTAGCACAGTGAGAGCCTTGTCTGGGAATTGGCCCATAGCTGATTCACCAGACAACATTAGGGCATCAGCTCGTTGCCTCACTGCCTCAGAGACATCTGCAACTTCAGCCCTTGTGGGAGTTGGGTACTCGATCATGGATTCTAAGAGCTGAGAGGCCACTATAACAGGCTTGTTCAATTGCCTACAGAGCTGAACTACCTTTTGTTGAGCTGAAGGGACCTGTTCCAATGGGATTTGTGCACCAAGGTCCCCTCGAGCCACCATGGCTCCATCGCAAGCCCGGATTATCTCATCCAGGTTCTTGAGAGAATCGATGCTCTCAATTTTTGCAATCACAGCAATATCACTGTAAAATAGTAAAACCAATTTGAGAAAAGATATCAATGCCCAACACATGGCCTAAATATATGAGCTCAAATGCTTTTAAAATCTGAACAATGTTAACTGTAGAGCAACAGTACCCCCTCAGGAAAAGAAAAAAACTATCATTTCTCTTATGAATTAAAGGACAGAAGAAGAGTAACACAAATTAAGAATGTGAGCTCGTAGTTCACATCAGAGCACATTAGGCAAAAAAACAGAACCCATTCAAGAAAAGAAGAACTACTGTGAGGCATTCACAGAATATAACTGCAAAGCATCAACACCCATCCATGAAAAGAAGAAATAACTGCACCAGAGCTGATACATATGATCTCAAGTTTTAAAATCAGGGCAATTTAGAGGTACACAATTAAGCTAATTCAGAATAGAAGGGACCGATGCAACATAACTGAATTATATAAGCACAAAGTACATAAGCTAGACAGCTGGACCTGCAACTAACTAAAAAGCACAATTCGTGGTCATGCTCCCATGTCCTTGCTAAGGGACTGGTTCTAAACAGAGGTTAATGGGACTATTGGCAGGAGTATCCCTACCTAGCAGGACACTGTAACTCAAAATGATGTACCAATGAAACTTTTAGAACCTAATCAATATAATATAGAACTCCCTATTCACTTTAAAAATATTTTGCACTTCTGGTCATAGTTTTTCCTTTCCTTCATTTTCTGGGCTTGGTGAGGGTGTGGTTTGGATCCTAGTTATGTACACCTATAATTTTTCTTTCAATTCCAGTATTTTATTACTTTCAATTGTTTAACTCAGAAAGAAGAAAATCTACTACCAAATACCCTCATACTTGGCAAAAGTCTCAGACAAAAAATCAATAACACGAATCTAATAACATCATTACGAGGGCAAGGACTAGTGCACATCTAACAAATGTACCAAAAAAATTTATCAAACCAGTACTGATAGCTGAATGTGCCAGTGAGCTAGTTACCTATCTCGGGATCGTGCAGCAATGTAGCTCTTCAAATGATTGATTACTTCAGCTGATTTCACAAAGGATATAGATATAAAATCTACTCCTTCTGCGATCCCGAAATCAATATCCAGCCAGTCCTGCATGGCCAAAACAAGATAAGCTAAAGGGTTTCTAATACATCATTAAGCATATGGGGTTTAATGATTTATATTTTAACAATTTTAATGTTGATGACTTTTAGTTTAAGGACTTTAATTAAGGCCCCTGGTTAGAAATGCCCCGAGAGGAGCTATGACCTTAGAATAGATTCGGGAGAAGGTAAATTATAAAGCATATGTGGTGCAACCCTTCAGGGAATTCAAGGTTTGAAGCTTTGAGTTTGATTTATGGTTTAGTTTACGGATTCTAGTAAGAATGAAATGAAGAAATATGACCTTAGAAGAGATAGTTGGGAGCATGGCATTCCTTTCACGAACCAAACTGCCACCCCTCCAGAAGGTTAGATTTGCCCTCGGTAACAAAAGCCCAGGGTCTGTACAGCGGCACTTCACATCAGGTCCAATTTTCTCAATCACTTCAAACCTCACCATGCCACCATCAACAAGGAGTTCATCCCCCACCTTCACATCTGCACTAGACCATGAGGCGTTCGTTTTAGTGTTTAGGCATCTAGTATATTAATTTACAATTATGCAAGTCGATAATTTCTACATTTTGATTTTCTTTTTTTTGACTGTGAATACCTCAAAACAAGGAATTAGGTTTCGGATACCTTACCTTCAGCAAATCCCTCATAGTTGACATTTATGGTGTGATCCGGTAGTTGTGAGTCAAATGCACGAACACTGAAAGTCCAGATCTCACCATCCTACCAAGGAATTATGCTCATTAGCATTGAATATTAGACACAATAGTTACAAATGCTGAGATAATCGCTATTTTTCTAAAACATAACTAGGCACCTTATTTAGTAGTGAAGGTAATTTGGGCAACTTGGGCAATGCTTTGAATTAGCTCACTACAACGCTTTAGTTTTTTTTCGCATATGCAAATTCGAAGAAATGGAAAATATGAAATGAAAATAACCTTCAACTCCAACCAATGCTACAGCAATGTCCAAATCTCATCTATAATCTCAAAAATGAATCTAGGAATAAAAAATGATGATATGTGCTTACTAGCATGAGAGGCAATACAAAAATTACCTTCACAATACATCATTGTCCCTTATGCTTTAGTTTAGTGTTAGACAATTCCAGTTTGGGAATGTGGTCAAGGGTTTCAACCCTTGAAGTTTATCGCAAAACAACAAACAAGCTGACTACCCACTTTATCTAGCCAATAATCACATAAAGTGATCCAAACAAATATGCCAAGTGAAGTCAAATCCCGCGTATCCCAAGTGAAGTCAATCTCTCTACACTCACCTTAAGAAGTCAAAGTACCCTTACAGAAAATCTACTACTGCAATTGAAATCAGATGCCTCTCGACTTCAATTCAGTTTTTGCTAGGAATTAAGAGTGGGATAACACAAGCCTCTTGACGTCAATGGAGTTTTTGCTAGGAATTAAGAGTGGGATAACACAAGTAGTCCTCATACTGAAGGGAGCCAATAAAAATGTTCAAGGGTGTCCTTAGATAACGAGAGCAATAAGTACCCCCTGGAATAGAAACTGATAAATATGTTTAGAGTGGAGTGCTGATCCATTAGAAAAGCTTGCCGCCAATCTTTTCGAGTGCCCCTTTAGTTTACAAATTCAAACCTTATGATCAAAGACAGACCTTAGGAGCCGGGGAAAAAAGGAAGAGCGAAATAGACATTCCCTATGGTCAACAGATGTTTTAATCTACAAAATCATAAACTTTTACAGCATATTTTCCTTGACTGTCCTTTCACAAAACAACTTCAGATGGTCCTACAGAAGTTAGTCGCCACAGAGTTATACAAGAGTTCCCTCGGTTTAAAATCTTTTGGAAACTTATAATGTTTTTTTTTTTTGCTGAGTTAATTAGAAACCTGTGTTCCAAAAGAAATAAATAAAGAGAAAAAAAAAATGACTTAACATTAATTAAAAATGATGTGTCAATTCAATATTAGTTACATAGGAATTCATGATCATGTGGAGGACAAGTATGTTAGTAAGGCCTTGATCGGCTGCTTTGTTGGGGACCTAAAGGAAGAAATCCAGATCAAAGTATAGATGTTCCAGCACACAACCTTGACGGCCACAATCGGCCTCGCATATATGCAAGAAGACAAACTACAACATCTTGGACTCAGAGAAAAAAACCAATTTAACTGGCAACGGGCTACTGTACCCTTCTTGTGGGCTTCTAAGACAGGAATCATTAAGAAACTAACTTGGGCCGAGATGGAGTGTAGAGACAAAGACATCTGCCATAATTGTGATGAAAAGTTCGTGCCGAACCACTGGTGTAAGTCCCAGAAACTGTTTATGTTGGACGATGATGCTGACTGGGGGGAGGATGATTGGGCAAGATAGATTTCAAACATTTGAGGACAAGGTTGAGATAGATTTCAAACATATGAGGACAAGGTTGATTTGAAGGAGTGTGGAATGTCAGGAAACTGTAGCATGATTAATTAGATGCTTCCCATAGTTGGATAAATTTGAATATTTCAAATTGGATTAGGGGGTTTAGTCAAATTAGGTAGTTTTTTATTTGAATAAGTCGTTATCTATTTGAAATTGGAATGAGTGGTGGCATGTGATTTGGGAATAGATTTAGGAGGGGCAAGTGCATATTGTATAAAGAGGAGCTTGAGTAATGAAAATGGTGTTGAACCCATTTCTTTAAAAACTCTGGGCATGCTGCAACAGGAGGGACGTCCCCCTCGAAGTGGATCAAACTTTTGCACTTTTACGATCTTTTGGTTTTTGACTGGAGTCTTGCCTAGCAAGATCGTATCAAAGGATTTGATCAGTCGTGCTTCATTCATCAATGTAAAAGACAATTTCCTTGATCTTGTACAAAAGTAGTCTTGTTTCAAATACACCAAAAACTGCGATAAATTGATGCATGGCAAGAGTTTCCAAAAATAGCCCAAAAAAAAAAAAACTAATCAGAAGAGAGGATACCACACCATTTAACCCCCAAAGCCCAATTAAACAAATAAAAGAAAAAAGACTCCCCCTTGGAGCCAAGTGGAAAATACATGTAAGAGAAATAGATAATCAGACTAATATCCTCTTCCACACCACTGTCAGTGCCAAAAGGATTCAAATATTCAATAGCTAGCATTGAAGTCTATGGCATGAGATTTGGAGAAAGAAGAGGTGGAGAACGCTATTTTGGATTTGGAGAAATCATGGAATCATGTAGACTAATGATTGCTCAACCATATGATTCGGCATATGGGATTGGAGATAAATGGAGGCATTGGATGATTGTATATTTATCCAAACCAGGTTTCTCCAGTTACCCTACCATATCCCATCTTCAGTTTCCAAACGATACCATTGTTAATACAAGGCAGAGTCGGTACATAAGGGCAATCGTGGGTTCAACATAATGAGCTTGGACGCAGTTTGTGGTCTCAAAACAGATCTAGACAAAAAAATTAATCTAAATAAGAGCACCATGGCAGGCATTGGTGTGGGCCTGAAGATACTATGTTGACTCATAGACTCAGGTCTAAGTTTCAACTACAACCCCAAAAATCAATTTCAAGGATATATATAAACCCATGGAGCATCATTTTAACGTTCAATCTCCAAAATATAAGTGGAGTGAATTCCATCATAAATAAAATAATAGATGATTCAGAAGCATGCAATTGGGTGTAAAAGAATAAAACAAAGACAGAAAAAAACTCCAATAGCTAATATTGATTCTCTGCTCTTCAACTAAAACTTCCCAAGGAGTAACAGCACGCGGAGAACCACAAGACGGTTCACAACTAAGGTCTGAGAAAAAGCAACAAAAACTTGGTGCACAGTCCACTAGACTTCCAATAATCAAAATCAAGTATATAATCAGTTCGTCCCCAACAAATACTTGCAAAATAGGCTAAAACCATCAATCTAACATGAAATAGCTGAATCAATTGCACCCAAAGATTAGCTAAGAACATAGATTGCATCATTAGCAGTTCAGATAATGGGAAAAGAAGAGGGAAAAGTATTTGACATTTACAGTCCAGAGCAACTGAAACTGTAAAAAGTATCCCCTCACCATGTTTACCACAATGTTTCAGTAGATCCTAGAAAACAGCAATATTTTGTGTAAATTTAGACGGTTGAGATGAGTATTAAAGTTCTAGAATCAATATATCCAAAAGCACGATGCTGGAGAAAGTAAAAAAATAGATATTTTTACTATAGTTTTATATTAAATATAAGCAAGAAAAGAAGCACATGGCATCAGCAAATGGACCACAAAAAAACACAGAGGAATGTGTCATCATAAATCTTAAAGTACTTCTCCATGCATAAACATCAGATCATGAGATCATCACAACATCAAACTAAAAAGTAATCACATGATTGAGATCATGAAATTTCCAAAAAAAAAAAAACCTAAAAAATAAACATAGGAGATCCCAACAAAAATGCTAAGCAAAAAGGAAAAGAAACAAAATTTTGCAAGCGTCAGAGCATCTCTCTCTCTCTC